TCGGAATAACTAAAATTAGAATCTTGTTCATATTCTTCATTGTTGTCACTTTCTGCTTCCATATTTTCACTAGTTTTAATATTTTGTCCTTTTTGTATTTTCGTCCCATTCTCGGCTTTAAGGGAAAAATAAAACTCATGATAAACCTCAGAAATGCTAAGAAGACTGTTTCCTCTGGCTTTACATAATTCAAGTAAACCATTCAATTTTTTCTCATTTATTGGAAGCAAACTTGTATACAGTCAAGGTAATTCTTTAGAATTATCGTTTTTTATTGTATTTCTTTTAATCTTTTTTATAGTTATTATTTTCAGCTCATCGGCATAGTCATATTTGAACTTTATTTTATGAGACATGTCTGATAAAAAGTGCACTTCTTTAATCTTGCTTATCTTTCTTTAGCTTTTCTCCATCATTATCTTTATTTCAATTTTGTTTTAAACTAAAAAGTCGTTCTGTGCCATTTCTTTTACAATGTATGGCTTTCCAGACATTTTTGCAATGCGAATCAACATGCTCCATTAATCAGGGGTGTATATTACTGATTGCCACTTGTTGGCATTTTCAATAACAGCATGCATGGTGTCTCTTTAGTTTTTTTTTATGCCCTGCTTCTAGTAATCCATGAACTGTTTGAATATTGAGATTTATAGAAGCATAAGAAAACAATGAGAAAATAAAACGGTTGTGTTTTTGTCCGCCACAGTGATCAGAGTAAAGGATAACCTTTTTTACTCCGGTTTCTTTTTGATAATCTAAAAAAAAGCAAAATGCAATTGCTTATTTCGTTTGGCCATTTTTTCGGAAGAACCTCGTGCCACAAAATATCAATAGCCTTTGTTATTTCCCCTATAATAAATTGTAAAATTATATGAGGCGAGTTTACTCTTGTAATAAAAGTCGCCCACATCAGATTGGGGCGTTACGAGGACTTTCTGTAAATGGAAACAAGCGGCACAAACTGACTTATCATTGATCACCGCCTCCTTATCTGCATCATTTAAAGCTCTGGCAGCTATTTTATTAGAAATGTGTTTATTTTAAGTTTATCTTCTGGAATTGCTAGTGGATAGGCTGTACAGAGGCTGCATTGGTCCTTTTTTTTGGTTTAAAAATGGAAAATTGAACTCGGCATTAATAATTTCCTGTATTGTCTTAAAGTACCTACTTCTACAACGTTTCTCTCTTGCATGTATTCTAAGTACAATCGATGCATTATTTCAACGTTAAGACCCTCCTCCAAGTATATTTTTGTTGACTTTTTTTGGTGTAATGGGAAGGCACGACAGGAAAAAGTTGAATGTGATGTCGTATCGAGTTTAAGATGCTTTCATCAATCTTATTTGGTCTTGTAGCGCGTTTCCCTCTTCTATCTGCCTCAAGGGATCCACTGTTTGCAATTTTACTTAAAGCGATTGTTATCCACCATTCAGATATTCCATTAGTATTCAGAAACATAGCTTTGCAAACCGGTATGTCGTTGTTGTTAAGAGCAAGAAAATATTTTCTAGAGAAATTTTGTCTTGATTTGCCGTCTGTTTTTCTCACTTGCTTTCTAACTTTCTTAACGTACCTTGCTATGTAATCCTATTGTCCAATGTGATTACCAATATTCCAAAATTTTCTTCACTTATCTTGGCTCGACATTTATTTCTACAGTCTTCTTTGCATGGATTCTTCATCTGTCTGGCAGGAATAAGTTGACCCTTATGGTTTTTGTGTTCGATGCCTACGTTTATATCCTTCTTAGCCTTCACATCCAGCCACCCACTTGTTACACGCTTTCTACCTGTTTTTTCTTTACGCATCATGTTACGCTTTCTACAGACGTTGACACCCTTAATTTGACTTTAAACTTAAGTATCTGGCATATTAAATGAGTCAGAAAATGATGTTTGTTCTGGTTTATAATTATGATCGAGATCTGAACTATCTTACAAGTCTTAAGTAAAATTGTTGGTGTATTATGAGCACTGATTTGCTTGTCTGTAGAGTGTTTGCTGGGAACTAAAGCTGTATCATACGATGAGGTTGATGCATCTGATACAATGGGTACTTAACTATCACAAGTAAATTTACTGATTGGGCAGTCATCCAAATCTAAAAAAAAGGACCAGTTAAAATAAATAAATAGTAAAAGCAATGAACACACCCAAATGCAATACTACATTATTTGCTAATTTTATAGGCATAAGTAAACTTGGTTATCGTTTCATAGATTGTAATGTATTTGTGTTAGAAGGGCATACTGTTTTCCAATGTTCTTGTGGTTCTAAAATAATAATTTTTGTTAGTAAAAAACAAGAAATAAAATTATTATAGATCAAACTTACTTAAATCTGATGATTGTTTTTCACATAAGTTTTTTACATTGTGCAAAATTTTTTGAGTTCTTGATTTCATTTTAATTCTCGTTAAAAATGATTATTTTCTTACTGCAGCTAATTTAAACCTAGTCAAATCAAGCGTTTTTTAAGTTACTTTAGTCTTCGTTGCATGGGTCTAAATGTATTATATATTACCATTTTATTCTTACGAAGCACGTGGTGTTCGTGTGTATTAAGGTATAAAAAAAACGTTTATTAAAAGCTTAAAATTTTTTATTATAAAGAAGATCTTTTCGGAATTGTATCATTCCATCATCAGTTTACTAAAAGAGAGAGTAAAAATACCAATATTAAAAACGATAAAGTTAAAATTTGAATATACAAAAAGAACAAGTTGGTTTTTTACTACTTACATAAAAAGTTGTTGAAAAAAACATTGTGTGGCCACATAAAAAACATTCGATGGACATCTGGATTTAAAAAATAATCTTCATGTTATTTATTCAGGTAAAAACAATAGACTCTTAAATTGTGTGATAATAAAAAATGAAACTGGGGCATCTTATATGACCCCTGTAGTTGGTGAGGTTTTATCGACTTACATTACCTCTGATCTGTGTTGGAGTCTAGGGCTAACTGATAGAAAGATGGTATGAAAAATCAGTTAGTACCCGTCAATGTCAAGTGGAATGATGTGGTAGGAGCAAAGTCATTGTGCTTAAGTTTGTGAGTAGGCAGTTTTTAGTGAAGAAATGTGTTTTGTGTGTAGTAGGATCATTAGCAATTTTTGGTATTTTAAAAAACTGATGGGAGAATATAATCAATGAGTGACTGCGATGTAAAATAAATTGGTATACCAAGGTAGGGAAAGTTTTTTAATTTAAGTGGTTAAAATTAATAAATCATTTTAAATGGGATAAAAAGAATGTTATTACCTAATTGTTTCGTTGTATGAAATGAGTATATATAAAAGTTGGATTTTAATTTATGGAAGATGAGTCGAGGAAAAGAAAAAGAAAAAAGAAATAAAAGAGAAAGCAAGAAAAGGAAATAGAAGGTGAATGTAACGATGTAAGCTGGGGATATTGAATCTGATTGTGATAAGAGATTGATAGATGTAAAATGAATATTTATAAGAAAATGTATATGATAAGTGAGATGGTAGTTATTGGAGAGGATGGGTAGTTGGATATTGGCAAAGGGGTGATGTTAGTGTATTAATGGTGACAAGTATAGAGTTAAGTATGAATGATTATGTAAGTTGATATTTAGCTATGGGAAATAGAAAGAAATGTAAAAGTGAAGTAAAATTGGATGTGTAGTTAAAAGAAAGAAAGTTAGATTATTAGAATAATTGTCGGTGAAGTGGGACGAAGTCTCTGTTGATGCTGGTGTGACGATTAACACAATTGGGACTATTTTTCTTTTCCTTGACTATTTCCAAATCCTCAAAAAGGTCAAGTTTGAGATAATCTCTACCTGGGATGTTATGAAGAAGAGAGATATCATCTGGTACCTTGATTGTGTGATTGTGATATTTAAGATGATATGAAAAAGAAGAAGTGTTCTCTAACTTAGAATGTTCAATGGCCCTGGTTACTAGAGATCTACAAGTTCTACCAATGTAAGTGGCATCACAGTCAGAACACCGAAGTTTATAAACTCCACTGCGTTTGCTGAAGTTAATAGGGTCCTTACTATTGCATAATGATCTACTCAATTTATCGTTGACTTTAAAGGAAATCTTAATATTTTCAACAGAATTCAGGATAGTGTTTTTTATTGATTCAGAGAGTGTTGGACAGTGAAATGGTAATGAGAAATAAGATGGGGAATCTAAAGTAATGTTAGGGTAAGCTGATTGTTGAAGCAATTTACGTTTCTTTTTATAAATGAGTTTATGGATGATATCAGGGTTGTAGCCATGTTGAAAGCAATCTGTTTGATTATGTTTAGTTCTTGGTTGTAGTTAATTTTGGATAATGGGATGGTTTCTAAACGATGAATAAAACTGCTGAATGCAGATAATTTATGTGAAATAGGATGGTTAGAATTGAAATGTATGACATGATCTGTTTGTGTGGGTTTTCTGTAGATGCTATAATCAAAGACATTATTGATTCTATTGATGGAAAGGTCCAAGAAATTGATGGAGAAGTTTAATTCTAATTGCATAGTGAATTTAATATTGGGGTAAATATTATTGATAGTATTTAGTAAGGAAGAAGCTGTATTTGAGTTACCTCTAATGAACACTAAGCAATCATCAACGTAACGGAACCAGTGTAGAATTGTATTGTTAGTCATAATTTGAGTGGATTCTAGATGATTCATGAAGAGGTCAGCTAAGAAGGGGGAAAGACAACTTCCCATGGCTAAGCCATCAGGTTGTTTATAAAAAATGTTATTGAAAGAAAAATAATCTTGTGATGAACACAAGGAAAGTGTATCTATTATTGGTGTGATGACTGAAGGATTAATTGATTTAGATGTAAGAAGGTTGTGGACTAACTGAATAGTTTTCAGTTTAGGAACAGAAGTAAAGAGATTGCTAACGTCAAATGAAAGCATAGTCATATCTGGATATCTCCACTTCATGGTTTGTCCCAGTTTTACTTTTTAAAAATTTTATTCTTATTTTTTGCTTTTTACACTTTAGTTTATTTTTTTTAGTTTTGAAACGTGCGGATACTACGATCTACCAGCAAAAATTGACTACATAATTGAACATACAGACCAGAAAAAAATATTCTACATAGGCCACTCTCAAGGAACATCACAATTTTTTGCTATGGCAGCTTTAAGGCCAGAATATAACAAAAAGATCGCCCTAATGTCAGCCTTAGCACCAGTTGCATATATGACGCATATGGCTTCCCCATTCCCGAGGTTTTTAGCTCAATACCTAGAACTTTTTGAGGTAAAGAGATTAACTTTTTGTTACATAAACATTAACGAAAGTTCGTTATATATTTTTTGTAGTTTTTATTGGTGGATGTTTTACAATTTCACAATTTATTGCCTTATTCATGGATCTACACAGAATTTGCTAAACTCCTTGTAGTTATAGAACGAACGTTTCCACAAGTCAAAGAACTATCTGCTATCACGATGTTTCTTTTATGCGGATTTAACAACAAACAATTTGATAGGGTAAGTATGATAGAAAAAGTGTTTATAACACTTTTTAAGTGTGACAATTAGACTTAGGCAAATACTCAAATGAAAAGGTATGAAATATGCAAATAAATATGCAGTGTTTTATGCAAAAATATTCAGCATTTTATGTAAAATATGCATATTTATCTAGAAAATATGCGTGTAATAAAAAATATTTCAAACAATTTTTTTCTATTTACAAAAATAATTACAATATTATAAATACATATTAACATATTGTAAAGTCTTTATTAATTCTAGTTTATTGTTTTTATTTTAATTTACTTTTTATAGTTACGTGTATATAGTTTAATTTATTTACGTGCGATACAATTTTCGTGCAATGACTCATATATTCTCTTACGTAACATTGTCCCCTCTTAAAAGATGGTTCCTCCTGGAACCTTGTCGGAACTGGAACTGGAACGGCATGCTGGTATCGGCAACTGGACTCTCTTTTACAACTTCCAGTTGTATAAAAATGACAAGGGACGGTTTTGTCTCCGCACCAGTAACTATGCGGATTGCAACAGACTAACCCCTGGACTTCGGTGTCTTTAAAGATCTCCTCCACCATATAGTTTGTACATAGTATTAGTACATAGTAGTTATTTATTTAAAAAATTATTTAGACTTATTTATGTAATAAGTTTGTAATAACGTTTGTACATTTAGATCTAACAACATCCTTTTGACTATCATTAAGTGGTCTTATTATTGATTCAATATCAGAAAGTAAATTTCGAACTCTAATATCTGATTTAGAAGGACATAAAAAACATGTAGGTCCTAGTGCTAAAAATTTCAAAAGGAGAATGAATAGATGTAAGACTTTTAAACCAATTTTCTTGAAATTTTATCTTATCAAAAGCTTCCATTTTTAATTTAATAAACTTATTAATTTGTATTTTTTTAATTTGATGAAATTCTGTATTGTATTTAATTCTCTGTCTAGGATTAAATTCATTAAATGTATGGAAATATTCGTTTTTCTTACTTTTCTTTTTTCTTATATATATATATATATATATATATATATATATATATATATATATATATATATATATATATATAATATATATATATATATATATATATATATATATATATAATTCTTTGGAGGGTAACTTTCGGGAAAGAGTCAAAACAAGGATCAGCTAGAGATGGTATAAGCCAGCTTGGTGTAGAACTTTATTCTATATGTGAAATTTTCGGTGATATGTTGTCACCTTCATCAGCACCTAAATGGAAAACCTATTATAGTACAGTGGTGGAAATCAACATTTAAAAACCTACATTGAAAATGTTCAGTTGGTCCTAGTTGTAAAAAACACTGTCACAAACATGTTAAAAATATTAAAAAATACATTTAAAATTTTGAATAAAAACATTACAAACAACAGGGTAGTTTTTCAAATACAAACACAACAAAAAATCTAAAATTTACAACCTACAAAAACCACAAATAGAAAAGAAGAATTAATCTTCTTTTTTGATGACATATTTCTGTCAACATCCGGGTGTCATATGTAACGAGGTTATAATTTTCACTTTTGCACATCACAACCACATGGATACGAAAAGAAAGAGCCCTAGGCAACATAATAAGCAAGGAAATAAAGTCCCCTCTAAAGCACAGGTAGGTAATCTATGCATGTCATGATAAGTTCCCCACATTTTCCAGTTTGTTACTTCTTGTCAAGTCCTGTTGAAGTAGAAAGGAATAAATACAACTTAAGTTTTCAACATCTTTCTTACAGTTCATAGGAGAGCTGCAGTTATGGATGTAGCACATTTCTATGAAGTTTCTCTTAAATTGGTTGTCAACCCTCTTTAGTACATGCACATTTTCATAGTTAGCAGTGTGTCCAGTATTCTTAATATGTTGGCTAAAGGCTGTGCTGGTGGGCTTCCTCACAACATCACTCCTGTGCAAAGCTATTCTTTTTGAGAGTTTCTGGCTGGTTTGACCGACATACACTTCTGAACAAGAACCACATGGAATAGAATACACTACATTGAAGTTATCCAGTTTTTTAACTCTTTCTGTCAGGTGAGTAAAGTATGTCCCTAATCTTTTGTAAACAGAATTTGCTATCACTATGTTGAACTGTCTGAAAAGGTTTGTGATCTGTGGTGATAAACTTTTGATGTAAGGCAATCTCCCATAGAACACTTCTACTGTTTCTCCTTCTAATGTTTGTCTTTGCTGTGTTCTAACTGTTGGCATATCTTGAAATAGCAATTTATTAAGGAGCATCTTAGGGTAGTGATTTTTTCTAAGAATCTCATACAATAACTTGATGTTCTTATTGTAGTTTGAAGGGTGACAAATTCTTTTTATTCTGTTTTTCAGACCTTTGATGATGTTAATCTTCTGTTCGTCTGGATGATACGAGTGAAAAGGCACATATCTACCTGAGAATGTTTTTTTTCTGTACCAATCTAACCTTACTGTATTGTCCTCATGTCTGGTTACATAGGTGTCTAAGAATGGAACACTATTATTTTCTTCTGTTTCAACTGTGAATTGTAGGTGAGTGTTATATGAGTTGAAAATGTCAAGAGTGTAGTTGATTTTGTCTGCAGGGACTGCACATATGAGGTCGTCTACATATTGGTAAATGAAGGGGAACTGGAAATCAACTTCTTGAGTACAGTAGTGAAGTAGGGAGTTCATTACAATTTCTGCCAAAGTAGGGGATATAGCTCCACCCATGGGTGCTCCTTTTATTTGGACATAGAATTCATTTTGAAAAGTGAAATATGTATTGTTGTATAAAAAGGTAATCAGTTTCAGGAACAAAACTTTGGGAATTGTACAGTTCTGTTCAATAAGATGGTAATTAGTTGTCAGAATAGAAACTACCAGTTCAAGAGGGATGTTGGTAAACAAGGAAGTAACATCAAAACTCACCAAGACATATCCTGAAGGTAGTAAAAACCCATTGATCTTATTTGCAAATTCAAAAGAATCTTTAATTTTGTAGGTATTATGAGAAGAAAAAGAAGTGTCAATAATACCTGCCAGATATTTAGCCAAGGATTGAGTGGGGGCATTCTTGCAAGCAATTATAGGACGTAGAGGGCACCCTTCTTTGTGAATTTTTGGAAGTCCATAGTATGTTGGGGTGGTACCGGTGTAGTTGGTTAATTCTTTTTTTGTTTTGGTGGTAATATGTCCTTCTTCATGTAGTTGTTTTATTAGTAAGTTAGTGTTTCTTTCTACTGATGGAGTCAGATCTTTGGGGATTTTTTTATAGGAATGTGGGTCATTGAGAAGTTCAAATGATTTGGTGATGTACTCGTTTCTACACTACAGTCATAATGGACAGAAACGAGTACATCACCAAATCATTTGAACTTCTCAATGACCCACATTCCTATAAAAAAATCCCCAAAGATCTGACTCCATCAGTAGAAAGAAACACTAACTTACTAATAAAACAACTACATGAAGAAGGACATATTACCACCAAAACAAAAAAAGAATTAACCAACTACACCGGTACCACCCCAACATACTATGGACTTCCAAAAATTCACAAAGAAGGGTGCCCTCTACGTCCTATAATTGCTTGCAAGAATGCCCCCACTTAATCCTTGGCTAAATATCTGGCAGGTATTATTGACACTTCTTTTTCTTCTCATAATACCTACAAAATTAAAGATTCTTTGAATTTGCAAATAAGATCAATGGGTTTTTACTACCTTCAGGATATGTCTTGGTGAGTTTTGATGTTACTTCCTTGTTTACCAACATCCCTCTTGAACTGGTAGTTTCTATTCTGACAACTAATTACCATCTTATTGAACAGAACTGTACAATTCCCAAAGTTTTGTTCCTGAAACTGATTACCTTTTTATACAACAATACATATTTCACTTTTCAAAATGAATTCTATGTCCAAATAAAAGGAGCACCCATGGGTGGAGCTATATCCCCTACTTTGGCAGAAATTGTAATGAACTCCCTACTTCACTACTGTACTCAAGAAGTTGATTTCCAGTTCCCCTCATTTACCAATATGTAGACGACCTCATATGTGCAGTCCCTGCAGACAAAATCAACTACACTCTTGACATTTTCAACTCATATAACACTCACCTACAATTCACAGTTGAAACAGAAGAAAATAATAGTGTTCCATTCTTAGACACCTATGTAACCAGACATGAGGACAATACAGTAAGGTTAGATTGGTACAGAAAAAAACATTCTCAGGTAGATATGTGCCTTTTCACTCGTATCATCCAGACGAACAGAAGATTAACATCATCAAAGGTCTGAAAAACAGAATAAAAAGAATTTGTCACCCTTCAAACTACAATAAGAACATCAAGTTATTGTATGAGATTCTTAGAAAAAATCACTACCCTAAGATGCTCCTTAATAAATTGCTATTTCAAGATATGCCAACAGTTAGAACACAGCAAAGACAAACATTAGAAGGAGAAACAGTAGAAGTGTTCTATGGGAGATTGCCTTACATCAAAAGTTTATCACCACAGATCACAAACCTTTTCAGACAGTTCAACATAGTGATAGCAAATTCTGTTTACAAAAGATTAGGGACATACTTTACTCACCTGACAGAAAGAGTTAAAAAACTGGATAACTTCAATGTAGTGTATTCTATTCCATGTGGTTCTTGTTCAGAAGTGTATGTCGGTCAAACCAGCCAGAAACTCTCAAAAAGAATAGCTTTGCACAGGAGTGATGTTGTGAGGAAGCCCACCAGCACAGCCTTTAGCCAACATATTAAGAATACTGGACACACTGCTAACTATGAAAATGTGCAAGTACTAAAGAGGGTTGACAACCAATTTAAGAGAAACTTCATAGAAATGTGCTACATCCATAACTGCAGCTCTCCTATGAACTGTAAGAAAGATGTTGAAAACTTAAGTTGTATTTATTCCTTTCTACTTCAACAGGACTTGACAAGAAGTAACAAACTGGAAAATGTGGGGAACTTATCATGACATGCATA